AAGAAAAAAATTGAAGGAATCAGAATGAGTAATGAGGTAATAAAACTATCACTTTTTGCAGATGATATGATGATATACTTGGAAAATCCTAGAGATTCAACTAAAAAGTTAGTTGAAACAATAATTTTAGCAAAGTAGCAGAATATAAAATAAACCACATAAACTATCAGCATTTCTATATATCACCAAGAAAATCCTGCAAGAAGGGATAGCAAGAGATACCCCATTTAAAGTAACCATGGACAGCATAAAAGTACCTGGGAGTATACCTGCCAAGACAAACCTAGGAACTACACGAATTATATATAACTACATAATTAACCTAGGAACTACATAATTATAAAATGTTCTTATGCAAATAAAGTCAGATTTAAATAATTGGAGAAATGATCAATGTTTATGGGTGGGCAGAGCCAATATATTAAAAATATCAGTTCTACCTAAAAGAATCTATTCAATGCCACCCCAATTAAATTATCAAAAAAAATTTTATTGAGCTAGAAAAACAACAAAATTCATTTGGAAGAACAAAAGGTCAAGAATATCAAAGAAATCAATGGAAAAAATATAAAGCAAGGAGGTGTAGCAGTACTAAATCTTAAATTGTATTATAAGGCCGTAATTATCAAAACTATGTGGTACTGGCTAAGAAACAGAAACATGGATCAGTGGAACAGAATAGACATACCTTACACAGTAGTAAATTATTACAGTAATCTTGTGTTTGACAAATGTAAAGACTTAGCTTTTGGGATAAGAATCCATTATTCATAAAAAATTTTGAGGGAAAACTGGAAAACAGTCTGGCAGAAACTAGGTATAAACTATTATCTTATACCATTTACCAAGATAAGGTCAAAATGCATACATGACCTAGATATAAAGGGAGATATCGTAAGTAAATGAGAAGAACATGGAACATATTACCTATCAAACTTGTGGATAGAAGAATTTATGAGTAAGCAAGAGATAGAGCGTGTTGTGAGATATAAATAGATAATTTTCATTACATTAAATTTAAAAGTTTTTGTGCAAATAAACCAATGTAGCCAAGATGAGAAGGAAAGTGGAAAATTGGGGGAATTTTTCCATTGACATTTTCTCTAATAAAGGTCTCATATCTCAAATATGTAGATATCTTTGTCAAATTCATAAGAATATGAGTCATTCCTCAATTGATAGTGGTCAAAGGATATCAACAAACAGTATTTGGATGAAAAAATCAAAGCTACACATAGTAACATGAAAAAGTGCTCTAAATCATTATTAATTAGAGAAATGTATATTAAACCAACTTTGAGATATCATCTCACTTATTATATTGGCTAAAATAATAGAAGGAGGAAATGACAAATGTTGGAGGGAATGTGGAAAAACTGGGACACTAATATACTGTTGGTAGAACTGTGAATTGATGCAATCATTTTGGAGAGCAATCTGGAATTATGACCAAAGAATTATAAAACTGTGTATACTCTGTGAACCAGCAATACCAGTTAGATCTGTTTCCCAAAGTAATCAGGGAAAAAGTAAAAGAACATATATGTTCTAAAATACTTATAGTAACTCTGTTTGTGGTGGCAAAGAACTGGAAATTGCCCATCCATTTGGGAATGGCTAAACAAGTTGTGGCTTATGATCATGATGGAATACTACTGTGATATAAGAAATGACGAGCAGGTTGATTTTAGAAAATCATGGGAAGACTTGGATGAAATAACTAAGCACAACCAGGAGAACATTGAATATCATGACAATAATATTATTTGAAGAACAAATGTGAATTACTAAGCTATTCTGAGTATTATAAATAATCAAAGCAACTACAAAGGACCTATGAAGGAAGACGCTATCCACCTGCAGAGAAAGAAATGAAAAATAGATGTATGCATATTACTTACACATGTATCTGTCTGTCTGTTTCTGTGTCAAATGGTGGCCTTCGCTAGTGCAGGGTGGGGAAGGAGAGATGGAGGGAAGGAGGGAGACAGTTTGGAACATAAAATGTAACAAAAAAATTAAATTTAATATAAAAAAGGAAAAAAAGCTATGTAAACTAATTGCCTCTAAATCTTCATTTCCCAGTCACTTCCCAGGATCTTGAAATATGCCATTAGACTCCATCATTTAATAGAAATCATTCCCTTTGGATTACCAGTTATCTCCTAGCTGCTGGATACGATGGCCTTTTCTCAGTCCTCATCCCTTTTTTGCCTCTCTGCAGAATTTGAGTCTGTTGATGATCCCTTCTCCTGAGTACCCCTTTATCCTAGTTTGCATCTCTCCTTGGGGGTCTCCTCTCTATCTGATTATTCCCCCCTTTTTTTTTTTGCTGGTTCATCTATCTCCTGCCCCTCAGCCATGGATGTCTCCAAGGTCATCTGTTTTGGGCCCCTTTCTCTTCCCTTTCATACCCTCTCTCTTGGTAACATCACCAACATGAGTGCAGTTATTAACTTTTTTTGTATAGATGACCCCTAGATTATATCTTTCTCTTCAGCACCAGCAGCATGTCAGATATTTCCAACCTGATGTTATGTAGGAACCTCAAATTTAACGTGGCCAAAATGGAACTTGTCCCTCCGCCCCCCAAATCAGCCCTTCTTCCAAACTTTCCCCTCTTTTTGCTGAGGGTACTACTATTCTACCAGTCCCCATATTCTCAGCCCTAGAGTTACCCTCCACTCCTCACTCTCAACCCTTTCATGCAAACAGTTGCTAAATCTGGTCTTGACTCATTATTTACATTTAGAACACATCAGGTATATTTGATAAGTAGCCAGAAAGGAAAATGATTGGAACCAAAGAAGGAAGACCATCCCAGGTATAATGGAGGCCTCTGTTGGAATTCCCTCCATTAAAAGAAAAGGCTGTCCTAGAACGAGCTCACGGGAGTCTCAGGATGAGTTCCTAGGACGACGTTCTTTGAGTCATTCAGGACCTACCTTAGGGTCCATGACGTAAGGAAGGACAGGTCTCCAAGGTGACCCATCTGTCCATGGAACTAGATGAGATGGTGGAATAGGTTTGGACTAATAGGAGGGAAGCTCCTTGAGGACAAGGCCTGGGCCATTTTAGTCTTTGTGTTGGACCACCAAACCTGTGGCCAGCCCTTACAAATGTTTGCAGAATTTGTTAACTATGACAAAATGTAGCCTTAAGAAAACCCTTTATCCAAATGTTCTCTTTTATGTCTATTTAATGCGTCATGGGGGAAATCCTCACTCTAAGATTTTTCTAAAGTAGAATAGTAAAAACTCTACTACTTCCCCTTGTCCCTAGTTTGTGCCTGACTTTGTAAAGATTTAGTTATAGAAAGTGGCTTCAGCAAATTTGCAAATTAAAAATAGCTCACAATGTTATTTGTAGATCTTTTTTCTACTACTATGTATACATACTGTTTGCCCTAACAATATGTAAGCTCCAAGGCAGACTGGGACTGTTTCTTTCTATCCCCAGTGCTTAATACATAGGAGGCTATTAATAAAAGCCTGTTGATTGATACAGTGCTTGCTATAACAATCACAGAGCATCTCTTGTAACTTTCTCACATTTGTCCCTGACAAACAGACCCAGGGAAGAGTAAGTTTTGTGCATGAGAAAGCTAAGGCTTGGAGAGGTCATATGACTTAATTACCCATGGTCCCCACCTAGCTAGGAAGTATCTGCTGAGGCAACCCAGACATCCTGACTTCTGAGTCCCCCCACTCAGCTTTATTCCACCCTGCCTCTATTATGAGGTCCAATAAAGGGTCAGTCATGCCTTTCCTCTAAGGAGCTTTAACTACATAAGGTCTCAGATCATTTTAAGAGAGTTCTAGCTGCTGTGTGACTCTGGACAAGTCACTTTATCCCTTGAGGCTCCAGTCTCCTCAAGGATCCCCGAGGTCTCTTGCAGCTCTAAAACTGTGTCCAGCAGCCTGCAGCTGTCCAACTGTTTCTACCACAAATAGAACACTTACCAGCCATACAGAGGCCAGAGCTTTTGCAAAGTCATCTACCCGAAGATTCTTTTCTCCATATAGGATTCCCACTCAAAAGAGCCTGACTATTTTCTCTTTCAATGTTATTTACTTTGATGTATTGAAACAGAAGAAATGCTCCCAGGAGTACTCAATGTGATAAGCTTTTATTAAATGATTACTAAGAATCAAGCAATGGGCAAGATGTTAAGGAGAGGAAAAAAAACACACAGCAGCCCAGCCCCTACCTATACATAGATAAGTAAACGCAGGTAAATGGAAGTAATGGGGATGAGGGAGGTGGGACACTCCCAACTAGAGGGATTAGGACGGACTTCCTGAAGGAGTAACACTGAAGGAAATGATCTCTAAGTCTGGGGTGAGGTCAGAGGCAGGTGGGGAGGGTGAGACAATCTTTGCAGAGAAACTGGGGCTGGAGATAAGGCAATTAAGAACAGCAGGTAGGTTCAAAGCTAGCTCAGTATTAAGCAGTGTACTGGGCATGGGTTCTTATTGGCTTCCAATGCTTGCAAAAGCTACAGAAAGATGATGTGCTTTTCTTGTCCCTAAGGGAATAAGATGGAGGACTTTGGGGAAAGGAATTGTTCTCAGCTCAGCTGTATTCTTTAGCCACTAAGCGAAAATGATGGCATGGTGGAACATTCCTGAGGGTTTGTATCCTTGGAAGGGGGAGAGAGAAACAATAGCGATGCTCAGAGAATGAGAAGATTGTAGAACTGGGAGGCATCTTGGGGAGTGGCTGATGACAGTGTCCTCAATTTTTAGATGGGGAAACTGAGGCCCATGGTGGGAAGGGAACATCTCTTGGCCATGGCCATAAAAGTAGTTAGTGGCAGAGCTAGGAGGAAGGCCCAGGTCTCCTTAAATCCAGCTCTGTTATCCCCATTGTACCAAACTGACAATAGAGGGGGAAAAGGCAATTCTTAAAGGGATATGCCACTGATGTAAAGTTCTAGTGTGTGTGTGTGTGTGTGTGTGTGTGTGTGTGTGTAACATAATAGCAGAGTCCCAAGTAGGTCTAGTCCCATCTTTTTCCCTTTAATTGTCCCTTTTAAAGTACTAAATCCCCTTGGCAGTAATTCATTCGAGGAATAGAAAAGAATAATATATTTAACCAATAATATACAATTTCTATTATGTTGCCCAGAAAGGCATCCTGGTGCAGTGGGAAAAAAGCTAGCCTCGGAGCAGGAAGATTTGGGGTTCAAACTGTAATGCATATTGGTTGTATGATTCTGGCTCAGGCACCTAACCTCCAAGACAGCCAGCTGAAGAACAATTAATGAGAAGGTGACACATGGCATCTGTGACACATACTAGCTCAGATGTCCTGGGCAAGGTCCTTCTTGGGCCCTTGAGATTCTCCAGGGCAGCAGACCAGGCCGTCTGCCCTGGTAGAAGGTGACCAACCATTTCCTCATTAGGAGCTACTATACCAATGAAATAGCAGGCAGAGGCTGGAGGGCTGGCTGCTGGTTAGTTGGGTATGTTTGAGTGGGTGGGGCTTCTTTTTCAACTATGGGATGGGTGAGACAGCCACTGAAGTTTCTTCCAGCTCAGAGATTCTGGTCCAAAAAGACATACCCCACCTGACTCTGGTTAGTGGCTATACTGTCACCTCACTGAAACACTCAACTTTCCTTTACTGGGCCAGACCATTGCTTCCCCTGTCCTCCAGAGCCCCCTTTCAGTATATCAGGATCACAGGGAGGGTCTGTCTCTTTTGGGGCATTTTCATTGAAAAACTATGTAACTCCAGTGTGCTGATATGTGGGTTTGAATCCCACTTTTGACACTATCACAAACGATTTTTAAAAATTATCCTGTGAGGTGGTTTAAGGGCTCTTTCCTCTCCCCTGGGGGAGGTGAGGATGGAGAACAGGTATACTTCCTGCCAGCTATGCACATGGCAGCCCCATGCAGGGTCTGGTGCCACTGTGAGCTCCGGCAGTTGCAAAGATCCTGTCTGGCCTTGAAATCACCGCTTCGGGGCTGCCTCTTTTCAGGTGCCTGGTAGCCAGGCTTAGTTTACTGAGGCATTCACGTGATGGGGGAGGAAGCTGGAGCCAGCCTCATGGAGATTGCTTGCCCTTACGACTCAGGGAAGAATGTTAGAGGAACACGAACCTTACACACTGCAGGTATTCAAGAGATGCTGGTTGTTTATAGGAGAATGTAAACTCATTGAAGGCAGGAATGATTTCATTTTCCTCTTGGTATTTCCAGTGCCTATTACTCTGCCAGGCACATTTTTTTTTTCTGGATTAGATCTTTAATTTCATCTGGGTAAGAGCTCCTTCTGTCCATGTAGATCAGTATCTTCTCTAAGACTTGGAATCTTATAGTTATCTAGAACATTGAAAGGTTGAGTAACTTATCTGAAGTCACACAGCCAATATGTGTCAGAGATGACACAGAACTTTCTAGACTCTGAGACAAACTTTCCAGTTGATCTGCCATGGGTGTTTATCAAACCCACACATTTGGTGTGTAATAAACATTGGTTTAATTGAATTTACTTCCTTGGGTCTTCCCTACCCCTGCGCAGATCCACGGCCCTGGGCCTCAGAGGCAGCAAACAGTTCAGGTGGGATTTCAACCCAAGACATCTCTGCTGATGCCTCAGGATGAGTCACCAGCCTCTTCTCAGAGTTTTTGGGCCAAAATGAGATTTGAAAGCCAGGTTGCTTATCCGTAACAAACTACCACACCTTACTTTGAATAGTCAAAACGTTTCTAATACTTGGAGTTTTTCCAGCATAGGCTGGACTGCCTCAGGATGGGGGGGGAAGGGTTCCACCTCATTAGAGATCTTCAAGCTGGATGACCCCCTTTAGGGAATGTTATGGTGAGATTTTCGAATATTGGTTCGATGAGATGGCGGCTGACATTCTTTCCACTCTGAAATGCCATGATTCTTAAAACTGTGGGACAATTTCATTACACATTGAAAACAGTAATAACCCACCACACCTTATAGAGCTCTTTGAAATATTGCATCATTCCTTCCTATTTCTTGCTTCTTTTGCAAACAAGCAGTCATCAGTCATGTTTATAGACTACAGTTAAAATCCTAACTGTAGAAGCCAGCCTGAAGTAAGATACATTTTACAAACTAAAGGGTTTGGCACACGAGGCATTTTTACCACACGCATATGGAGCCCTCACCAGTCCTATCAATATGCACTCTCCGTCCGCACCAGCAACAGGAGTGCCCTTCTGCTGTACTCTCAGCCATCACATACTAACTGATAGAATATTTATGTGGCTGCTTTGGTGATGTGAAGCTTTGCCTTTCTGCTCAAATCCTCCTCACATACCAATGCAGGTGCCAACCTGGAGCTATGGCTTGCAGTGGCTAAGCATGAGAAAGCAATCATTGGATAGTAAAGTGCTAGGAAACACAATCTGCAGAGGACTGAGGCCGCACCGCGTTTGCAGGGTGGTGGGTGCATGGTCTTGGGCATACACTCAAAGGATGCTTGGGACCCATCATGGCTGAAAGTCTTTGATTGGGAAACTGTTGGCTCACACCCTCTGGGGTTTTGGTCGCTTGGGGGCGCTCCTGGCTTTGATGCTCTTTTGAGGGTCCCCAGGCCGGGGACCCTGGGACTTTCCCTTGGGCTTGGGAGGGCCACTGCGGCTGGTGCGCCCAGCAGGTCGCTTCTGCGTTGTTCGAAGCTGCTCTTGTAGCCTCTCTTCCCACTGCTGTAGAGACAATTTGGAAACAGAGGCAGGAAGGCTGTTACTGCTCAGAGGGTGGCTCTCCCTTTCCTACAAAGTCAAGAACACGGCCTTTTTTCCAGCTTTTTTGCAGCTCAAAGTCCCTTTTCATTTATTTCCAGTTTTACAACTTGTGTTCTAGATGGCCAAGGTTACCAGGAGACTGACCTTTGGATAAATGAGGGCACTGTTGTTTCTTGGACTATGCTAAAGACTGTGTCACTTAGGAAACCACACTATACCAGGGATTCTTAACTTGAGCTCCACAGATTCCCAAAGTATCCATGGAGAGATACCGGGGGGGGGGGATGTCCAGGAACTTGGGAAAAATTACATATTTATTTTCACTAACCTCTGACTGAAACTTAGCATTTCCTTGAATTATGAATATAAAATTCCTCATCTGAAAAGGGCTGAAATGAGCTTCACTAGACTGCCGAAACAGTCGATGCCACAAAAAAGAGTAAGAACGCTTGCCCCAGACGTTGACATACTGGGCTATCCGTGTAATCTTCTGTCTGTGGCATTCTCACCCACCCAGGTACCCATATTTGACCCTGGCCTTTTTCTGTAATGCCAAATCTGAAGTGTTGGACAGTTCTGTGAATTCTGCCACTGTTTAATCAACTGCTTAATAAAAGTGTGTTGAAATAAGTCAATGTGTTTTTACAAAGAAAGATGGAAATTAGATTTTTAAAAAGCATGCAGCTCAAAAAACCCCATTTTAGCTGCCAGGTGATTTGGGCCAGCCAAAGAAGAAGTCACAGAACGTGCCTGTGACAGCCTCTTGGCCCCCTATTCTTGTGGGGTAGAGTGGTTAGAGAACCAGCTTTGAACCAGCCTGCCGATGACATGTGCTGGTCATGCTACCCTATGAGAATTACTGAGCCAAGTCTGGGAGAAGATGAGCTTCAGAGAAGATGCTGACCAGCACTGGCAGAAAGTTTTCTTCTTCTTTTTCTTTTTTTCTTAGGCAATTAGGGTTAAGTGATTTGCCCAGGGTCACACAGGTAGTAAGTGTCAAGTGTTTGGTCTGAGGGCAGATTTGAACTCAGGTCCTCTGACTTCAGGGCTGGTGCTCTATCCACTTGCCACCTAGCTGCCCCTAGCAGAAAGTTTTCTACCTGGTTTATTATACCAATGAATTCACAGATCCAGAACCCTATCCCTATAATGTTCTGGGCACTGTTTGGGCTACTAGGGACAGAGCTAATCCATGTCAGACTAGGGATGTGAAGCAGAGTATTCCTGACTCTGAGACCTGCTCTCTGTCTGTTAGGTCATACTACCTCTCAAAGGTAGGATCTTATCACAGGTAGGCACACAGGAAATGGAAGAGTCACCAAAATCTATAAACTATCTCTGTGGCTACATCTCTCCCACACACCTACATACACCCCACCCATATAAACCACCCTACACCCCCATATACTTCCCCATTTACACCCCTCACAAACACTCACCACAGACACCACACACACAAATTCACAAGCCCCAAACATACACACAGACGCTCCCATCCCCTGCCTCTTTGCCTACCCTCACACTGCTGATAAAAGGCCACTGGTCATACTTACTATAAACCTTTTCCCCAGCTGGTCTCTCCATTTTTCCACCAGGCAATTCTCAAGAAGCATCATTCTGAAACAAATGATTGATGAAATAAAGTTTCATGAATGTGTCTGTCTAGTGGGTCAATATTTGTAAAGTTACACCTATTTGTAGGCTTTTCCCTGGACCACTATTGCCACCTGCAGCAGCAGCAATAGTAATAACAGCAGCAGCAGCAGCAGCAGCAGCAACATTCCTATAGTACTTTAAATACATAGCACTTCCAAGATGCTTTACATCTCATTCCATCCCCAGTGGCAAGCACTGTAAGTCCAGGTGAGGAAACTGAGGCTGAGAGGTAAGGTAAGTTGCCCAGGTTTCCAGCTTTCTGACTCCAAGTCTAGGGCTCTAGTCACTCCAATTAAACCCTGTGGAGATCCCTGCTTTCATATGTTCTAGGTCTGGAATACTGAGACCTGCATTCCCCCTCAAACATGATCTTGTATCACTTTTATACGGACTAATATATGTCCATGTTGTCTCCTCTAATAGGATACAAGCTCCCCAAGGGCAGGGATGGTTTCATTTTTGTCTTTGTATTCCTAGAGCCAAACACCAGGGCACATAGTAGGTACTTAATAAATGCTTATTGATTGTTTAATTGACATAAACAAGGGAGGCAACCAAGGGGGTTAAAACAAGTCAGAGAAGGCTTCTGGGAGGAAGTGCTAGCTAAAGCAACTGCTGCTGCTTTAAATATATTTTGTACTCAAAGATTAGAGTTTTCCACTGTATAATCAGTCAACCAAAAAGCATTTAGTAAGTACCTACTATGTACTATAGTATATAATATATATACCATACATATATACATATATATGTACTATATGCTGTGCTAGGTGCTGAGTTATAAAGACAAAACTGAAATAGAAAGAAAGACCTCAAGTCTAAGCACACATTAACCCTTTAAAAAATTCAAAAATGCAAAGTTAAGGTTTCAGAATTCATCTTCTCCCCACTCCCCATGCCTGCCTTTGCCTACCTTGAACGCCATTCATAGCACATGATGAGGACGTCTTGGTGGGGCAGGATATGTGGACACTGGCAGGAAGAGTTAGTCACAAGAGGCACCTGAGTCCGGGGAATGGGCGACAAGGACTTGAAAATCTCCTTTACGTCCACCACTGTGGTGACTTCGTGGCAGCCACTTCTTTGCACCGCTTTAATTTTGGCATGAATCACTGCATTTCGAAAGACACATGAGCAACGCTGCAATCTTCATGACTTTGATTACTGTCTCTACTGATTCTCAAGTCTGCCGATGCTTCACCAACCTCTCTCCTGATCTGCAAGCTCAGCTCGCATTTCCAACTGCCTTTCAGACATTCTTAACTGGATGTCCAGTAGACATCTTAAGCTAAACATGTCAAAAACAGAACTCATTATCTTTCCCCCCAAGTCCTCCCTGGCCCCTATCATACCTATTATTGTTGAGGGCACCACCATGCTCCCAGTCCCTGAGCCTCACAAACCTAGGAATCATTCTGGATTCCTCACTATCCCTCACATCAACCCTCTCCCACATCCCAGCTATTGTCAAGACCTGTTGATTTCACCTTTGTAGCATTCCCTGAATACACCCCCTTCTCGCCTCTGATACTCTGGTGTAGGCACTCAGCACTTCATGTCTGGACTGTTTGTAATAGCCTGCTGGGGACAGGGGTCTGCCTGCCTCAAGTCTCTCCCCACTCCAATTCATTCTCCATTCAGCCACTCAAGTCATTTTCCTAAAGCTCAGGTATGACCACGTGATTCCCCTACTCAATAAACTGCAGTAGCTCCCTAGCACCTCCAGTCTTATTTTACCTTACTTCCCAACAGGCACTCTTTGATCCAGTGACTTTGGCCTGCTGGCTGTTCCATGAATGAGACATTTCGTCTCTCAGCTCTAGGCATTTTCTCTGACTGTCCCCCATGCCTAGAATGCTCACCCTCTTCATCTCCACCTACTGTCTTCTCTGGCTTTCTTTAAGTCCCAACTAAAATCCCATTTGCTATATGAAGTCCTTTCTAGTTTCTCTCAATTCTACTGCTTTCTCTCTCTTAATTGTTTCCTATTTATCTTTTACACAGCTTGTTTGTGCATATTTGTTGTCTTCCTCATTAGATTATAAGCTTCTTGAGGGCAAGGACTATCTTTTGTTTCTTTTTGTATTCCCAGCGCTTAGCACAGTACCTGACAGTAGTAGGTGCTTAATTAATGTGTATCAACTGACCTTCTGCAAATGGCTTTTCCCAAGCCTACCTTCTAAGATTACCTCAACTTTTCCCTGTATGTATTTTATTTGTAGGGCCCAATGAAGAGAGTATTGGGCTTGGAATCAGGAAGACCTGAGTTCAAATCTGGCCTCAGATACTTACTAGCTCTGCGACCCTGGGCAAATCATATAACCTATTGACCTCAATTTTCTCATCTGTAAAATTAGCTGAAGAAGGAAATGGCAGATCCCTCCAGTATCTTTGCCAAGAAAACCTCAAATGGTGTTATAAAGAGTCAGATATTACTAATCAACAAAACAATAGTCTTATTTGTACATAGCTATTTGCATGCTTTCTCATTAGAGTCTGAGTTTTTGAAGACAGACACGGCATTTCTGGCCCTTTTCTGCGTCTCTCATGCTTAGCACAGTGCCTGGTACATAGGAGATACTTAATAAATACTTGCTGACTTGACTTTTTAATAGCAACATTTTACCAGCATTGTGGTATGACTACGAGGTCTGGAATATAACAATAGGGGGAACTGAAGATGGGCATCAATGCCTGTGATGGATTTAGAGGCACCTGGTAAGTGTGAGCTGCCTGCAATGTACAGCCAGTGAGGAGCGTGGAATAAGAACTACAGTAAAAGCTGTCATCAGTGCAAAGTATATGTTTGAAAAAGAGGTTGGCCTAGCTGTGTGGTAAAGACAAGGGATAAGAAAGGAAAGTCAGGAGACAGTCAGTCAGGAGAGAGGAAGAAATGCCTCCAGCACTTTGGAGGGCCCTCCAAAATGTGATGAACACAGAACACACAGGATGGACTGGCAGCCCAGGGGCGGTTTGCTGTCTGCTCCACTGGAGGGAACTCCCTAATGGATGTGATCACAGATTTACTGGAGGATGGCAATGTCTGTAGTGCATTATGGTTTGGAAAAAAGCATTAATGAGACTAGAACCCAGGCCTCAACTCCCAGCGCTCTTTTCTCCACATTAAAGTGCATGTGTGTGTGTGTGGGGGGGTGGAGATGGGGAAGGCAGGGAGAGTCATTGGTTATAAATGGAATAACTTTCAATGTTCCTTCTCTGAAAAGCCTCACTGCAATTCACTGAAGGTTTTCATCTAAAGCCTGTTCCCCACTGAAGCACCAGAAATGAACAGGCTGTTTCTCCTCCTTGACAGCCAGGATGATGGGGGGTAAGGAGCCTGTTGTTACATGAGGTTTGAGCATGAGTCTGCCTGCCCTGTTACAAGGCTGTGACCTTGGGCAGAAATATCTCTGGATGTGGAAGGATCACAAACTCAAGATGAGTTGGACCCAGACAGTTCATTGATAGTAATGAAGAGGGGAGAAGGCATTGAACATCCAGGAGCCTGAAAGATGGGCAAAGGGAAAGCATGGTGGAGGTGAAAGACGAGGGGAATAGCCTCCTTAGCCAAGATCTCAAAGAGATGCTGCTAAAGACCCAAAGAAAGGAGGGTTGGGTTCTTGGGGGCAAAGTATGCAGGGGAAGGGGATGTTACCCACATGGCTGAAGATATTTATCCAACTGATGACTAGGACATTGGTCCTTGGGTCCTTTTAATAGGCTCTCTTTGTGTTGAACAAGGGGCAGCTAGGACGTGAAACAGATAGACTACCAGGCCCCGAGTTAGGAAGACCTGAGTTTAAATCCAGCCTCAGACACTTAGTAGCTGTGTGACCCTGGACAAGTCACTTAACTCTGTTTGCCTCACTTTCTTTATTTGTAAAATGACCCAGAGAAGGAGATGTGGAACCACTCCAATATCTTTGCTAAGAAATCCCTCCCCCTAAAAGAAAGTGGTCATGAAGGTCAGATATGACTGAAAAGCAATTAAACACCAATATCTAACAGGCATTTCAAATTTCCTTCATAAGAATACAATTTCAGTCAAAAGAGACAAAAGAGGGGTGTGGTATAGGAGACTGGATTCAAGTCCCACCAATACTTCCTGGGCCTATGACCTTAGGCAAGTTATCCCTGTCTTCTGAGCCTCAGTTTCCTCATCTGCAAAAATGGGGTAACAACCCCTGTACTACCTCCCTCACAGGACTATCATGGCAAAGTCCTGTGTATACAAGAGCCTTGAGGGCAGGGAGTATTGGAAGTCAGATCAAGTCAAGATGCATTTATTAAGCACTTACTGCTTGCCAGGCAGTCTGCTAAGTTCTAGGGATATAAAGACAGGCAAAAACCAGCCCTTGTGGGGATCTCAGACCCTAATAGGGGCGACAACATGTAAACAAATCTGTACATACAAGATTCTGGTCAAGTAGATGGAAGTCCCTCGGACAGAAGGGCCTGGAGTGGGTGGGGGAGGTGGGGTAGGTGGGAAAGGGACTTCAGAAGGCCTCCTGCACTTCTGACTTCATGTCCCCTGCTCTTAACACAGTCCTAGGCACTTATAGTAAGTGCTGATTGCAAATACAAAGCACTTCGTCAATGTCCAAAGTAGCAAGAAATTGTACCCAGCACATTGTTTGGAGAACACGTGTAGTTTAAGAAACTCAAGGAAAATGTGGGAAGAGCCAAAACCAGATTTCAAATGCACAAGGAACCTGCTCATTGTGCTGGTAGGGTTCTGACCATTTTAATCTACATTCAAATAATGGTAACCTAACAGTTTAGTGAGTATGAGTAACCAACACTCCTGCTTAGAGACAGCATAGGGCTCCCCAAACTCTCGGACCCCACAGTTCAGCACTTTTACTATTCCTTTTCTTTTGATTGAGAAAATAAACAATACTTATGAATTCAGTAACAGCTTTAAATGAATTTGCATGTCTCCTAACATAATTATATTGGCGTATATTTTGATAAGTATTTATTCATATATATATATATATATATGTATATGTTCAAAATATGCTATTTATTCAGTCTACAGAAGGACTTGGAGTCAGGAAGACCTGAGTTCAAATTCTGACTTACTTAGTAGCTGCGTATCCCTAGGCAAGTCACGTCCTCTGTCTAGCTCAGATTTCTCATTGCTTAAAAATGAGGATCAAAATAGGCTGTTATGAGGAGTCAATGAGAACATGAACACACACACACACACACACACACACACACACACACACACACACACACACACATACACGTTCCCGTTCAGTCATTTCAGTTGTATCCTACCCTTCCTGACCCCATTTGGGGTTTTCTTGGCAAAGATTCTGGAGTGGTTGGCCATTTCCTTCTCCAGCTCATTTTACAGATGAGGAACTGAGGCAATAGGGTGAAGTGACTTGCCCAGGGTCACACAGCTAGGAAGTGTCTGAGGCTAGATTTCAAGTCAGGAAGATGAGTGTTTCTGACTCTAGGCAAAGCACTCCATCCACTGCCCCACCTAGCTGCTCACACACATATATACACATATTTACAAGCACACATACATATATAAAATATAATATATTCATAATATGGTATATAAATCTTTTTGCAAACCTTAGAGTGCTATATAATCATTAACTATTATTATTACATACCAAATAATATTTTGGTAGCCCGTACAGGACTATAGTTAGGTACCATTGAAGTAGTAGAAACAGCAGCCTGGAAGTCAGGTCTGTGTTTGAGGTCCTTCACTTACAAGCTGCTTGACCACATAAAAGCAACTTTGCTGGGCCGTTGTAAAAAGTTTAAGCTGCCTATGTCACAGGCTTTTTGTTTGGATTGATTGAGAAATTCTGGGACAAGTCCATTTGTCAGCAGAAAAGTGCTATACATACTTTAAACAGAATTCAAAGGTGCTCCAGCTGTAAGTTAGCAAGTTTCCTCTTATTCTTCCTTTGTTCCTTCCTTTTCTTTCTTTCTTTCTTTCTTTCTTTCTTTCTTTCTTTCTTTCTTTTTTTTTTTTTTTTCTTTCTTTTTTTTTCTTTCTTTCTTTTTTTTTTTTTTTTTTTTCTTTTTTTCTTTTTTTTTTCCTTCCTTCCTTCCTTCCTTCCTTCCTTCCTTCCTTCCTTTCTCTTTCTCTCTTTCTTTCTTTCTTTTCTTTCTTTCTTTCTTTCTTTCTTTCTTTTCTTTCTTTCTCTTCCTTCCTTCCTTTCTCTTTCTCTCTTCTTTCTTTCTCTTTCTTTCTTTCTTTCTTTTCTTTCTTTCTTTCTTTTCTTTCTTTCTTTCTCTTCTTTCTTTCTTTCTTTCTTTCTTTCTTTCCTTCTTTCTTTCTTTCTTTCCTTCTTTCTCCTATGAGGCATGCACAGAGTTCAAATAGGGATAATGCATCCATGAGAGCTGAAACTATAGCCTCAGCATGGAAACTTTTGGGGGGATGAAGCCCAGTGACCCAAACCAGCTGCCTGCAAGGTTCCAATGGCTGGGACTATCCCCAAGGAAAAGAAACAAGGCACGTGAAGATAACTGATCTTCTGTTATAATGCTAAACCCTGATGCTCAGCAGATTCTAACTGAATTACCCAGATCTCTGTCTGTCTGTCTGTCTGTCTGTCTGTCTCTCTCTCTCTCTCTCTCTCTCTCTCTCTCTCTCTCTCTCTCTCTCTCTCTCTCTCTCTCTCACACACACACACACACACACACAGAATGGCTTACATTGTGCATACTAGCTTCATCCTTGAACTAAATTCACCCTATAACCTGTCTACCCTCTTTCTTTTCTCAGTCGACAAGGTATGAGTATTGTAGCCACAAGTTTCTGGAGCCAGGCTTTGTTACCATCCAGGTCTCAGAAGCAGACAGCTCCATCCTCACAAACTCCCACAACTTACCATAACTGTAGTTCTTGCTCATGTAGGTCGTGAGGGTGGGCTTCACCTTTTTGCATTTACACCGGTCTTGGGAAAACAAGAGAGGAGAAATTGAAAGCAGCTATTGCATTGAGTTTGGAAAGGACGACCAGGGAAACTGAACAAAGAGGAACTCACCAGGACTTAGGCGCTTGCAGTCACTATCAAGAGGTCTTTCTTGTACCATCATGTCTGGGGTCATGTCTATCCACTTTGCATCTAGAAAAGGGTGTGAGCCGTGTGGTATGTTAGATCCTAATTCTCTATTGAAAGAGCAAGTGGCTTTTGTATTCTCCCTTGGCAGAGTGAAGGACCTGGAAATAGCAGCCTGCCATATATCCTCTGGTTTCAATCCCCCAAATTTCTTGCATTCTTGTACCCCCATCTTACACCATTATCTTGTCACCAGCTTTCCTGAACTTACAGTATTTCTAGCTTTCCCAGGGCCAGGCTCTAGTCTCAGGGCATCTCCATAGGCAAAGTGCAAAGTGAAAGGAAGGGAAGCTTTGGTAACTTCATTTCATGCAATAGGAAATAGAATCAGCCAGACTGGATACTTCCTCCCCTCCCCCTGCCCCACACCCAGTTCCAGAGTCTGAAAATGAGAAGGGACCTCAGAGGCAAACTAAAACCTTTTTAGTTTCGGCTATTTATAATGATCAAGTGAACCAGACATTGTCCAGATTCTCACAGTTTTTTCTATACAGACATAATCTAAGTTCACATACAAAATAAGCCAAATCAATAGAGCAATAAATAAGCATTTATTAAGTACCTACTATGTGCCAGGCACTAAATAAACCACCTATCACTATAAACACCCAATCATCTAGAGTTTTTTTTTTTAATTCCAAATTATCCAGGTGGGTGCCTCCATTCTCAACTTCACTTTGCAGATATGAGCTCAGTTTTGACTTGCTTGGAATAATGGAAAGAGTACTGGCTGAAGAGTTAGAAGACCTCGGTTCAAATCCCGCTTTTGACAACTGCTAATTGTGGGACCTTGGAGGAAGGACTTAACATCTCTGGGCCTCAGTTTCCTCATCTGTAAAATGAGAAGGTTGGATTAGATCACCTCTGAGATCCCTTCTACTTACTGATCCCCATGACCATATGATCTCCTTGAGGAGATAGGTGATGAGCTGACCCATGAATTTCAGGCTGTCAACAGGTTTTTTTTAAAATTTTTTAATTTTTAGGCAATTGGGGTAAAGTGACTTGCCCAGGGTCACACAGCTAGTAAGTGTTAAGTGTTTGGTCTGAGGCCGGATTTGAACTCAGGTCCTCCTGACTTCAGGGCCGGTGCTCTATGCACTGCGTCACCTAGCTGCCCCTTCAACAGGTATTTGTTAAGTGCTTACTGTGTGCAATGGACTGGGCTAAGTGCTGGAGATACAAAGAGCAAGCCCCAAATAGCTCCCCATCCTAAATGGGGGAGATAACATGTAAATATCTAGATACACACATGATACCTAGAGAGCAGGGGGGAGGAGGGATGGGGAGGAAAGGCCTTCAGGCCATGGAAAAGCAGCCAACAAACAACTTTCTGCAAATAGGATGAGAAGACACTGTCCTTAGTCCAGATAAAGTGTCAGGGACCAGAAGCTTCCATTTTCAGTCCTTTGGGGAACTTTCTCCAACTATCAAATCCCTTATGAGACACAAGTATGGCCTTTGCCCTTCTTCCCTTCTCTTCTCTTGTCACCAACTGGAGGTGGGAAAGGAATCCCATGGTAGAGTCGCTCTGCCTCTGGACCTGGAAATACTAGGATCCTCTAACTGGGCAGCCTGGTCCACACACCTGATACCGAAGGATGGAGTGTAAATCCCTACTGGGTGCCAGACCCAAAGCTTGTGCTGGTGACATCACCATCATTTATGAGATCCAAATCAAGAAGCATGTAAGTCCCTACTATGTGCCAGGCACTATGCTAAACATCCTTTTGAATTATAAACAGACTAAGATGAAATGCTGTCGAATTAAGGTTTGTGCAGAGCTTTGAGCCTCCCTACCATCCTGTGATGTGGAAACCAAAGGTGTTATTATCCCCATTTTCCAGATAAGGAAACTGGGACTCCGGGGAGTTTGTAATGCAAGGGTCAGAGAACAGATTCAAAGGCATGACCCAAGACTCTGCAAAGCCTGGGAAGCAAAGTCCTTAGGGGAGAGACTGCTCTTTCCCAGCTCTCCCTCTCCTTTCCTTACTAGCCCCAATTCAAAATAGGGAGAAAAAGGAAAGAGGGTCGGGTCGGGCTAGTTTCTCCCAGGGCTTCCAGGGCGCAGCTCCCCACGAGGCTGACACTTTTCAGCGGCCATGGAGGATGGAGCTCGAGGCAAGTCTAGGGTTAGAATTGGGCTTAGCTTTAGAGCTGGAAGAGACCCCAGAGGGGTCTAGGCCAACCCCCTCATTTTCCAAGGGAGGAAACTGAGTCTCGGAGTGGGGAGGTGATTTGCCGGAGGTCACGAATTATGTAGTATGTGGCAGAGAGCCTAGGTTCTCCGATTCCAAACCCAGGGCGTGTGTGTGTATGAGTGTGTGTATGTGTGTGTGTTTGTGTGATCACATCATACATGAAACATTTCACACCATGCTAGCTGCGTGACCGCGGGCAAGCACCCCTTTCAGAAATTTCCCGGAGCCTCATTTCCCCATTGGAAACCAGGGTGGGGGGCTAACGTCATTGATGTTGGCAGCCTCCCTGGTTTTTCTGGAGGGGCAGCGGCCGTAGAAGCCCTGACTCCAACTCCCCCATCCCTGTCCCTTGGAACTCCTCAGGGTGTCTCTGGGCCCGGGATCCCTCCCTGGGCTGCCCCTGCCCCTCTCCGCACCTTCTGGCAGGTCTGTGACTATGGCCTCGGGGGAGATGCACACGCCGCGGTCGTAGACCGGCAGGTCGTCGCAGGCCAGGTTCTCGGGCCAGCTGTGGTTGTAGAGGCGCATGAGAGGCTCGCAGTCGTCTCGGGCGCGCTGGCATAGGGCTTTGCACGGCCGGATGGGGTCGTGCAGGAACTCGAGGGCGCAGATGGGCGCGTACATGGCGCACAGAAAGAAGCGCAGTACCGAGCTGCAGTTGGCGTCCACCAGCTCCTCGTACTGCTCGATGGCCAGCACGGCGTTCTCCTGGGTGCTGTGGTGCAGGTGGTTGGGCATGCGGGTCAGGTTCCAGGGCATGGACCGGCACATGGGGATGCGCACGGGCTCGCAGGGCGCGCCCCGCACTGCCCGGGTCAGGCGCAGTGCCAGGGCCAGTGCCGCCAGGCTGGCAACGAGCATGGCTGCAGCCGTCGGGGCTGCCCTTCCGCTCAGTACGCTGCCCGCGCTGCCTCCGGTGCTGCCGCCGGTATCGCCCGCGGTCTCCCGCCCGCTAGCTCACGGCTCCGCTGCCACCGTCGGACCCTGGAGCAGCTCGGAGCTCGCCGCTGGCCACTCCTCTCTGCTGCGCCCCAGCTTCGGTCCAGGCTGCTGCTCCTGCTCCTGCTCAGGCTCCGAGTGCCGACAGCCATGGCCCCCGCAGGCTCCTATTTATCCCCGCGCCGCATCTGACGTGGGCCCGGCCCTCGGCTCGGCACTCCGGGAGGGCTCCCCCGCGGCCGCCCCCCTCGGCCTCGACGCGCTGACATCACGTCCCCCGAGGGCAGGGGCAGGGGCAGGGGCTGGAGCGGCTGAGGCTGCGGGGAGGGCCCGGGCGCACGCTCGGCCAGAGGCCCGCGGCTTGGAGCCGGGGGCCACGGGGGTTGGGGAGTGTCTGTCTGTTTGTGGGGGTGGAGTGCAGCTCGCGAACCCTTGGGCCGGGCCCTCGGCGGGGCTGAGTTTTGTGCTCCAATCAACTTTCGGAAATGAAAACTAGGAGAAGCTCAGAATTGAGCAGAAAGTTGTTTTTGCTTTCTCCAACAGGGGGCCCAGAAGCTCCTTTGCCAGGGTCCCTAAATGCTTTCAGAAAGACATTCTTAGGAGTAGGTCAAGCAAGAACTGTAACGGAAACATTTGTTTGTTTTTTCTTTTAGGGCAAATTTCCTTATTTTGTACCATTCCCACAGGAGCTGGTGTCTGCTTTGTCAACCTGGGGTGGTGGAGAGAGCCGTTGGCTGTACGCCAGAAAGTCAGTAAACATTTCTTAAGAGCCTGCTATGTGCCGGGCACTGTGTTAAGCGCCGGGGATACGAAGAAAGGCAAACGACGCTCCCTGCTCTCGAGGAGCTCACGTTATGTCGGGGGAGACAACGTGCAGATATTACATTACAAACATTACAAACAAACTATGGCTAGGATACATTGGAAATGTGAAGTCAGGGCTGGGAATAACCTCAGAAGTCATCTCCTGGACATATAGTCCGACTCTCTCCTGAGGACCAGAGAGAGGAGGTACCTTGGCTGAAGTCATACAGCAAGTGGTAGCATTCCTATTGGAGACCAAGTGGTACAATCCAAGCAGTCCTGGGTTCTGGAGTCAGGGGCTCTGAGTTCAAATCTGCTTGTGTGGCCTTGGGCAAGGACTTTCCCCTCTCAGTTCCCTTCTCTTTATGAGAAATGAGTGGGTCGCATGGCCTCTGAACTCTCTTCCAGCTCTGGATCTAGAATCCAAATCAGAACTCCAAAATCCTCGTTCTCTCCACCCTGCACCACACAGGCTTGATTTTTAGGCCAGTTCTTTGTGACTTTGGGCAAAGTGATATATTTCTGAACTCCAGACTATAAAATCTATCTATAAAATCAGTGGGTCAGACTAGATGCTTCCTGAGGGTTTTCCAGCTCAAAACTTCTCTGGGTAAGGGTAATGTACTCCAAGTACTCTTTCGAAGATCTAAAGTTTGAGAAATAGATCTTTTCCTTTACATTTTCCTATTATTTTTCTTTCACTCTCTTTGCCTTCCTCCCAAACTACCCAAGCCAACGGAAGAATGAGAAAACAGTGGACAGCACTCTCAGCTCTTCCCCATCCCACTGGGTCCCCAACCAGCACTCTAAAATTCCTGTGGTGAGCTTTGGGGTGGTGGTGGTGGTGGTAGGGGTGGGAGGGTGGTGGGGGTGGGGGGGGGTGGCGGTGGTGGCTGATCTGAGTGAGGATACCACTTGAAATGTGAACATTTGTAAGCACCTTGAGGGCAGGATAATGTGTTCGGCTGTGTGTGTGTGTGTGTGTGTGTGTGTGTGTGTGTGTGTGTTTAATTTTCAACATTACTTTATTTGCACAATCTGAAATGTATACAGAGTGCAGTTATTAACTATGAAACTAGCACAATGCTGCTTGTCAGGAATCTGATAGTATCAGCCTGATTCCATATCACAATTCAAGATATTTTTTCTTTAGGAAGTGCCATTACCTGTGAAGGGATATTCAGTGGGGGGAAAGGGGTCCTACCATCCAACCAGGCACTTAATGCTTATTAAATTGGATTTCATGAATCTTCTTTCCACTCCTGGCTTTTCACATCCTGTTAGGAAGAATTTGGCCAGCTGACCCCTATACATGCAAGGTTTTTGTAGTGAAAACCTCTGAAGCAGTCATGTTTCCCCTTGGTAACTTTCTCAGTAGAATATCAGGTGAGGACTATTTTCCTTGTATTTTGTTTTGTGGGATCATGGGGCTAGAAAGGACTTTAGGAGGTGACCTAGTGCATCTTCTCTTTATTAAGGCAGAAATTTACTGATCTGGGGTGCACAGTTCCCAAAGGGGCCCATGGAGAGATTTCAGGGTACCCATGAACTTGGTTGAGGTGAGGAATGACACCTTTATTTTCACTAACTTCGAACTGAAAAGTGGCATTTCCTTCAATTTTTAAAAACACTTCTGAGAAGGGGTTCATAAGTTTCACCAGATGCCATAGAAGTCTATGACCTTGGTTTACAAAAACCACAAGTAAACTGTGAATTATAATATTTAGAGCTTTGGGGGATCTCAAAGATCATAAAATTCAGATGAAGAAACTGAGACACAGAGACATCAGGTGATCTTCCCAGGGTCACACAATAAGTAAATGTAAGGCAGCATTTGAACCCAGATCTTCCTGATTCTAAGTCCAATACCCTACCTTCTAGGCTAATGAGAGGCTGACCTTGACAGAAAGGTAGGAAGAGTAATAGCTATTTCCTTTGACTTCAGTTCCCCAATAATCAATCCAGGAATGCTTTTGCCTTAAGGATCTAAGACAGATGAAAAGCTTTGGGTATGAAATGATCTCTTTCCTCTGCCAGTCTGGTAGAGTCCTCAGCTTCTTTCACAGCACAGACCAGATGGCATCTCCTACTTCAGGTCTTGTCTGATTTCTACCCTACACTATTAGCTTTTGAAGTTACTTTGTACATATGCTGTGTTTTCTTTACTTGTTTACATGCATTTCTGTGGTAGAATATAAGCACCCGGAGGGCAGGGACTGTTCAGTTTTTGTATCTCTGGCCCTAGTTTGTAGTCTGGCTTGTAGGTGTTGCTTAATTGAGCTTTGTTGTTGTTCATTGGGGTTCCGCTCTACTCATGGCCTCATTCGGGGTTTGCTTGGCACAGATACTGGAGTGGTTGGCCACTTCCTTCTCCAGCTCATTTTACAGATGAAGAAATTGAGGCCAACAGGTTAGGTGACTTGCCCATGGTCACACAGCTAGGAAGTGTCTGAGACCAGATTTGAATTCAGGTCTTTCTGATTCCCAGTCTAACGTTCTATCTAGCTGCTTAGGTTAGGATTATTTTAGGTTAGGATAAAGTCACGTGCAATCAAAAGGACCAATGAGTTGAATTTTGTCTCTGGTCCATCCCAGGGCTTCAGATCCATTCCAGAGTGGGCCTGTGCATCTACCAGATTCTTGGCCTGTTCCATGGAAAATGAAAACTTCTAGTTTTAATCCTAGATTTAACTTACGGAGAAGGAACAATACTTGGGCCAGACTAGACCTGCCAGGGCTAGTTGTAGTAGAGGTATTTTTCTTCTTCCCCTACATGTTTCAGACCTTGGCAATGCCAGACCTGGGAGGAGCAGATGAGGAAGGCATGCTTCTGACAGTCTTCTCCAAACATGAGACTGCACCCTGTTTCTAAGGCAATTCTTTAGAAGGACAGCCTTCTGTTCTTCATACTTTCACACAGAAAGATTTTTATCATCCTCAAACCAGAGCCTCATCTTCTCCTTGGCTTTCAAAGCGCTTCATCCACTATCCCCTCCTACCTTTTCAGTCTTCTTACACCTTACTCCCCAACAATTATTTTTTGATTGAGTGACACTGTCCTCTTGGCCATTCCACTAGGAAGATACTCCATCTCTCAGCTCTGGGCATGTTCTCTGGCTATCCCCCATGCTTGGAACCCTCTCCCTTTTTAACTCCACCTGTTGACTTCCCTGACTTCCTTTAAGTCTCAACTAAAAATCCCACCATCTACAGGAAGCCTTCCTCAAGCCCTCCTAATTCCAGTGCTCCCCACCCCACTTAATTATTTCCCATTTATCCTATCTAGAGCTTTCTTTGTATATATTTGTTTGTGTGTGGTCTACCCCATTAGACTATGAACTCCTTGAGGTAGATTGTCTTTTGCCCCTTTTGGATTCCCAGCACTTAGCCCAGTGCCTGGCACACAGTAGGTGCTTATTAATGTTTATTGATTGATTGATACTGAGCAAACCTAAAATTGCCACTCAAAGCCCATGTTCTGTTTAAACCTCAGTCTTCAACACAACTTTACCCTTGTAGAGTAGCTCTAGATTTGTGCCTACAGTGGAAGGATTTAAAGGTGAATAATTTCATCCAACAGATGTCTATTACCTACCTGTCATATTCATGGCATTGTGCTATGTACCAAGGACACAAAGACATGGTCCCTGTCCTCAAGGGGGTTATATTCTAGAACTGACACAATTGGCACATAGATCAAAGAATCCTGCATTTAACACTGGAAGGGAACTCATAGGTCACCCAGTCCAACAGCCTCATTCTGTACATGAGGAAACTGAGGCCCAGAGTGGTAAAGTGGCTTCCCAAGGTAGGAATTGGAAGAGCTGGATTGGAGCCCTGGTGCTTTGTAAATAGAAAACTCTTCACATTACACCACAGTTCCTCCCAGGTATTACAAGATAGTATGAGGAGGAGGCCAGGGCTCACAGCTGACACTACCGGGGTTCTCCAGGGATCCCCTCTGCCATTTTTTTCCCAGCTCTCCTGACAATGCTTAACCCTTCCTCAAACCACTCCTGGGTGACAAGTAAGCCTTTCATTTGCTCTGGTTTGTTTCCTCATCCATAAGGAGCAAGTCTGGCCCAATGAAGTTTCCTTGGACACTCATGTATGTTACAGGAAGTAGAGAGTTTGCTTGGAGAGGCACAAAGTTTGCTTTTGGGCAGGCAGGCAGGCTTGTTTAGGGTCCTGGGCAACATGGCAACCCTGCCACTGGGGGC